AATCTGGAATATTTTAAGTTGCAAACCAAAAAGCAACAAATTAAAGTTACGCAAGTTCCAAAGAATTTTAAATTGTTTGTTTGAACTTGAAAGTTCAAGTTCATGAAGATTTCCCCCCTTCTTGTTGATGGTTGACCCATTCACTTAATGTTCAAGTCATGGATTTAATCTCTGAAGTCCTCTTGATCAACCATCTTAAAAGACATCTCGGCCTTTATAATTCATTTCACACATGTCATATCAAGTTTTTTTTTTCATTTTTTAATTGAAAGTGTAAGAGACAATTGAACCGCCCATGTGACAACAATGGTTGATTTAATCAGGACCCTCGAAGAGACTGCAACCGGGGGCATTTCCTCAAGTGCTTCAGAATTCTCGTTGTTCCATGTTTGGAGGAACCTGTCGGTACTTGCAATTTGCAAAGGTTGCATTCCACTATCACCCTTGTCACCCCACTTTCACCGGTGAATGGTATCTTAGTGGCATTTTGCCATGCCAAACTTGGGCCCTTTCTCCTATTACCTTTTTTCCGATTGCTTCCCACGGCCGGCCTCTCCATACTTCCCACTGCCACCCTACCCATACTTTCTTCTTCCACTACTTCTTCTAATTGTATATCACCATTCACATCAGTATCATCGTCCCAATCATCTTCATAATAATCATCATGAAGATATTCTTCATTTGAGGGAGCTTCTACTTGACGGGGTGTAGGTGCACTAGATTGGCTTATTTATTTCCATTTACCCAAGACCGTAGGTGTAATAGATTGGCTTTTAGACCCGTCCATCCTAACAATGCACAATAACATATCACAACCATTAGTTCAACATATATCAATATAGGACACATCCAATTTTCAATCACAAAATGAATCGATCAAAACCCTAAACTATTAACTCGTAAGAAAGTCACTGACCTTGCTTGCCTGTTCCAAATTAAGTAGATCCAAATTTGCCTTCTTGTAAAATTTGTAATTCAATGGCCCTGATCAAAATTTGAACAACACACAGAGTCACCGACTACTACAAATTTAGATTCGAATGAATATATTAAACAGGTTTATCAGCTTTGATCATTGGTCGTTGATGATAAGTCCCAGGCAACAAATACTGATAGTTGAATGATGGGGTTGGGGTGGGGTGAGGGAAGACGAGATGGTAGGGAGAGAGGTGTGTGTGCCCATATTTTATTTTATTTTCAACTTTTAGATTTATTATAAGGGTAAAGAGGAAGGAAAATAATGTCTTTTCACATTATTAGATTTAGTAAGTGGAGTAGGAGAGGAACAAAGGAAAAGGAAGATGGCGAAGGTAACTAGTATTTTTTTTTCGGAAAATATAAAAAACGAAGAGCAAAAAGTTGATCTCTCCCAACGTTAGCAAATCTTTGATTAAAGAGTAGGGCTCCACTTACCATTTATTTGTGTCATCATTTATACAATTTTTCTAATAGAGGTATGATCCATCAACGCATTTGGATTCCATCTCTTTTGGATGTGGCACAATCCAACGTGTTTCAGCTTCAGCATAGCTATACCAATCAACATGCTTGACCTCTAGGGCAACTTGAAAAGATGTTTTTTTTTTCGATGGTACTTGAAAAGATGTTAACCCACGTTCGATTATTGCTGGAATAATAAAATAATAAAGCTTTTGATTTGATGATTTGTTAGCTGAGGGAAGAGCCATGGAAAGGAAAATGTGGCAGACATGTCGACATTTTTCTCTTAAATCACATGTTATGAGCAGATGAGCAATTCAAATAACAAAGTGGTTGATAAAGGAGATATGGTCACATGAGAATTTTATGGTTTGGATTTCAGTTTAAGTCTATGAGTTGCGAGCTGGAGTTGGAGTCTAAATACGTTTAAGAGTGCAAATCCTCGTAAACATGTTGATGACATGTTGCTATTCACGTACTAGGTCTAACGATCATTAGTACTCTTGAGTGTATAGGCGTTATGCTATGTATGTGATGGGCCTTGCTGATATTGTTCTTTTACATTTAAGATAAAAGCGTTGAATAAAGTGCTTGAAAACATATATAAACATGGATTTACTGCTAATTCATTTTAGGTCAGAATTCTATTATTGAATATTTGATTCAATGGATGCGCATTGAATCTATAATTGACCTTGAAGTTGAGTTGACAAATATGAGGAAAAATTTTCGGGCGCTGTGAAACTCATATGACTGGTTTTTTGTGTTTTTTCATAAAAATGGGAAGAATATCTCCTAAAACCCCTTCTTTTGTGTGTGTGTGTGTGTGTTTTAAGTGTAAAAGAGTTAATAATGTCATAAAACTATAAGCACTGTTCTAAAAATAGGTCTAGGTGGCGTCTAGACCATGGACTTAGGTCAAAATGTTCACTAATTGGAGAGGATTTAGGTGGCCGCCTAGGGGCTCTAGGCGGTTTGTCTACTACAAGTTGCATTGATGCTACAGTGCGTCTGCTACTGTGATGCTGCTTCTGATACTGCATTTGTGGTAAGTATGGTGCTTTGTGGAGGTGGATTCGGTGGTCAGTGTTTATGAGTATGGTGTTGCGATGGTGGTGGATCTGCTGGCGATGGGTCTGGTGTTGCGGTGGTGGTGCATATGTTGGCGATGTGTATGGTGTTGCGGGGTGATATATCTACGGTGGCGGGGTGGTTTCGGGAGAGAGATAATACAAAAGATGAGAAAAAGATAATGAAGAACAGAGAAGGGAAAGGAAGAAGGTGGGTGCGAACCTCAATAGAAAAAGGAGTTGAGTAGATTTAGGAAAAGTAGTGGTAAAATATTTTACCTTTTAAGTTAAAATAGCTAGTAGTGCTGGAAGATGTGAATAGCTAAATTAATATTAGAGAACTTTAACAAAAAGTTTTCGATATTGTTCATTTTAATGAAAAATTATATTTTTACACTAAAAAGTCAATCCTGGTATTATTCACTTTATCCTTTATTTTGTCCTTATCGTTAAAACTCAAAGTTTTTAAATCATTTTCATTAATTTCCTTAATATCTAAGCCATTGCTAACTATAATAGTAAAAATTTAGCTACTATTGTTAGAGATACTCTTAACATATTAGATGCTTATGAGCTTAATTTCTAGTACAAGTATAAATTTTAAAAGTATAAATATGTACTTATTTATCTTCACTGGAGGATTCCCACTTTTGTTTTTTGTAATGTCCTATCAAAAAAAAAGTTTTAAGGTTGTGGTGTCCTAGGTTTAAGTCCATCGCCATCATATTGAGGTGGACTACCATTGAGGCACAGCTCCAATCATGACTTAACATGTCTCCATTCATCTCCCCTAAGATAAGTCATAGTTTGACGCTTGTCACCACATTTTTCATGTAAACCCAACAAAAGGGAATTGGATCTCATTAGGATGATCCTCTTTGTGCCTCTTTGTGATAATCCTCACATCTTATTCGTTCTTCGTATATCGTATAGTCAAAAATTATTTTGAATTTTTTTATTTAAAATTAAGCACAAACAGCATTTAACGAAAATTGATCGCAAAATGATAAAATGTGAAAATCCCTAATATCTTGAGAAAGAGGATCCGGAACGATCCTCTTCCCAACAAAAGTTCTTTACCTCTCATTTTATTTACGTATTTTATTCAAAAGGTGTTGTTAGGTTTCACGAGCCTTTTGAGTTATAAGTTTTACGCATCAACAACTGATTGATATAATCTTGAATGCAATTTATATATACTAGCATATGAGCACACACAAAGTGTGTGTGTGTGTGAAATTTTTTTATTTTTGTTTTTGAAATAAAGGAGAGTGGAAGAGAGTGTGAGAGTGGGAAGTTTTTTTTTTTAATTAGAGATATGTTAGGATTACATGTAGGTGAAGCCTTCAAAAAAAAAAACAACAAAATTTGATTGTGTGAAATTACATTTCTGCCCATATTTCTTAGTCATGTTCTGTTTTAATTAGAAGGTTAAACTTGTAATTTCATAGGGTTTTGGTTGACAATGAGTGTTTTATTAAGTAGTAGAGATTAATGGAGAAATTCTTCTTATGCATTTAATTAATAATTACTAACTACATAGTTCATCACATTTTCTTTAGAGGGGTTTCATTGTTAAATCACACTAGCTAGTAATTAGCTTACACGATACGGTATTTAATCAAAATTAGTTATGTTTAGTAAGTAACACTTCATGTGGTCAGCTAATATTTATTAACAATATGGTCTACACAAAACTTATTCAAATGTGATTCATAATCTATTGATTTACAGTTGAAGGAGAAATCAAGTTCGAATTTCTCATTTATTTAATAAGAAACATATATACGAGGTTAATTATCATTCTATCTTTATAAGAGAAATGATGCTTAGATGTAACCTATAGCTAGAATGATATAATTTTACATACATATGCTCGTTAATTTATTTGAGGGTTCATAAACATGGGCACGTAGCTGGGGAATAGCACAACTCAAGGATCCGATGCCTTTTCGACGGAGATAGTTTCTTATCCAGTTAAGATTTATTTTCAGTGACGTCACCATCCAATAAATATTTGCCACTTGTTGAAAAAGTGCACTAACTGTCTAGTAACGATTAATACAAGCTGAATTTGTGACATAATAAAATCTCTCATTTTCCACAACATTTTTGAGTTACTGCAGTAGTTTTAGCACAGACACACACCCCGCAAGCCAAACCATAATATTAAAGAGGTTTGTGAGGAGAGGACTGAGGAAGTTAGGTTTGAGAAAGAGGCCGAAGCTTCACATAACTGAATGATTAGGGTTCTTAACAGTAACAGATTAGGGTTTGTCATTATATATATAGTACCAATAATAATGAAAGAGAGTAGGATGATTGCAAAAGGGGAATTTGGTAGTGACGTCGTGTCAAAAATTAAAAAAAAATTATTAACCAGCACCTTCATCTGCGCTAATCACAAATCAATCTCCTAATTAATTACAAATTAACATGAATATTCTTCTATATATAGTATGGAACGGTGAGTAAGTTGCAGTGGACCAATATAATAAGGTATTAGTAAAAATGGGGAGGGGGAAAGTGGAGCTGAAGAGAATAGATAACCCAACAAGCAGAGATGTGACCTTCTCCAAACGCAGAAATGGACTGCTGAAGAAGGCTTTTGAGCTCTCTATCCTCTGCGATGCTGAAGTTGCCGTCATCGTCTTCTCTCACTCTGGCAAGGCCTACGAATTTGCAAGCCACGAGTACGTTTAATTAACAAGTAATTAAACTAGCTAGGTAGGTTTAATGATGATCATATTGATTAATAATTTGTTATGTTAACTTGTGATGCAGCATAAATAGGACCATTGCCATGTATAGACGTGAAGTAGGGTTGCCTGAAGCAAACAACTCAACCTTCAGAAGGGCCAGAACCATGGAGGTATAATACATTTATATATTGCTCTTTTTGGTAAAAATTTTATGGCATGACCGTACATAACACCTAAACATGGCAATACTAATTCACATGTCATGAAGTTCTGAAGAACACGATTAATATTTGGGTATTTCATGTCCTATCAGTGTGACCACTAACAACATCATGTGAACTATGGAGTAATAGTAAATAAAAAAGAAGAAGATAATATATCAAGAAAAATAATCTAAATTCTTAACCGGTACGTTTAGACGAAGGACTCCAAAGTTTCATGAAAGTTAGGCTAATTTTGTTATAGGATATATTGCACTACAAAAAATTATGTAGAGGGACCTAAAAATGACTAGAAGCATCATGTGAGAGAACTTTCAAATGACACCTTTCACGTGGTGGTTTAACTGGTACTTGAAAGTTCTTTGTTTAGTTTCCTGCATGCATTACATTAATTTTTAACAATTCAGTCTGAAACTCTTTGGTACTTCCTCGTCCATGGTAAAATATTTTATTCTTTCAATTCAAATGGGTCCCTAATGTAGATCCTAATTCTGTTCAACCGAGATAACCACTTTGATCTTTTGTCTAAGCTAAACAAATAAATGAGAGTTATTCCCAATTGGTCCCTAGAGGGAAGAAAAACATCTCTAATTATCTAGTTATTAATCACTTCTAAAGGAGTAGTGAACCAAAAAAAACTTTTTCAGAGTTAAATTTGCTGTCATTATTCTATGACATCTCGTCTCTGCAACAAATGGTAAATAAATTACTTTGATCTGCGGTGTTTATTTTGCAGTATTGGAGGAATGAAACCGAAGGGTTAAGAAGATCAATACAGAACCTCGAAATGCGGCTCAAGTAGGCCTTCTAGCAACTACAACAATTTTATTCCGTTCATCGTATAGGAGGTTATGTATATATATGGTTGTTCTCAACATATTTTTAAATAATTAACATGGTATTACGAACATCTATCTGTAGGAACTTGGCTGGAGAAGAGCTATCAACGCTTGGTATGCAAGAATTAAAGCAGTTGGAAAGACAGTTAAAAACTGGGGTTGAACGCATCCGCTCTAAATCGGTATATGCTCATAGAAAAACAGTAATACATAACTAATCAGTCACAACTAGTACTATAATTTAGGTTTAGTTTGTAGTACCAAAGTGAACACCTACAGATTTATGCTTAACTGATATGTGATTAAACTAATTAACAGAGACAGATCATTTCGGAGAACGTCAACTTGCTGAAAAGAAAGGTAACAACCCTCGTAATTTCCTACTTAATTACGTTGTTTCGATTAATTCAAATGAATTGTTACTTTGGACGTGCGGAAATAGTAGTTCGTGTAATTAAGTTGTATAAAATGCTGCTGCAGCATAAAGAATTGCAAGAAGAAAACAAGTGTCTGCAAAAAAGAGTGAGTAAACATTGCCCTAATTTCCTCTACTAATTAGTTTCTAATTGCTTTGCAAATTGCAATCAAGCATATAGAAATGCATAGTTAATTGGACATTTTCGTTTGGTTAACACATGCTACTTTGTCTTGTGAATTGAGGTTAAGTTGAAGGAGTTTCATTTTGCTGATGTCACCTCGTCGACCTCGACAACTACTTCGGGAGCAAATGCATGCATGAGTGCATTCCAAGTTACATAGATTTGCTAAACTAAGTATTATGTTAATTATGTTGATCGCTACTTAAGCTTGCTGTTAATCAATTATAATCTTATTGTGTGAGTGAACTAATTTGAAATTCAGGGTTATGTTCTCGCAGCAACACCAGCTGCTGCCTAATTAATTTGAAAAAGCTGCTTATATATAATTAGTGGCTGCAGCTTTTGCTGTTGTGAGGGACTGCGATCATAGCTTTTGCTGTTGTGTGTTTCTAATTTCTTGTGTACGAACTATATGAAGTTCGTGGAAATTAATGTACATTATATGATGTTGTGGATCGATGTTATGCATAAGTTTCTATCTTGCCTACGTACGTACATAATTTTTATCTTCTTATTTCAAAGAAAAAAGACCTACAGAAAGAACTCATACAAATTAGACTGATTAAGATCAACTAAACTAAAACCCAAAGAGAAAAACAGAAAAAAGTTCTTATTAAATCACCCAAGAACTTCCACAATCCATGAATGGAGAAGTACTTCTGCACAAAACTCTTGAAAAAGTAATGATTCTCGACATATTGGCTACTGGCTCAAGCATGCCATAACATTAGAGAAGCACGAATTAAATGGGTAAAGTTGCAAACAAAATTCTGTAGAACATAAGAATATATGTATTCAACACGAACGCTTTTTATCAACTAACTCTTAATTTATCAAATTTTTCTTCCAAATGTTGAAAGATTCAAATTTGGATTGCCCTCCCGAAGACAAATGAACACTTTTTCGAGTATCAAAGTAATATATTCACTTTTAATGCTAGAGTTTAAGCTTGATTCATGAGAAAATTTTCAGTGTGACTGTCACACCGCCACGTGATATTATTAATTCACTTATATTATAATCCGTATATCTACTTATCAACATTATACCATGTATCCATGACATATTAGCGTTTTTTGTTCATTCATATGTTAATGCATGAGCGGGTATGGTAACACTACGTGACGGAAAATTTCTCATCGTCGTATGCAAGAGTATTCTAATTCCGCTTGGTTGGGGCTTACATTGATTGGATCATAATAATTGGGCTTTTGGCATAAAATTTCCCGGGCTTCCGCCCATAATACACACATCATAATCTACGGCCCACATCCAAATCAAACCCCCACCCGACTCGCCCACCTCGCTCTCTCCTCCATTTCCAGCTCCCACTCCCAAGCCACCTCTCTCTCTCTCTCTCTCTCTCTCTGCTCCTCTCCAATGGCAGCCATAGCTCGCGTCTCCAGGAGAGCCTTAACCTCCTTCTCCAGCTCAGCCCAGCCATCCGCCTTCCACCGCACCTTCTCTGCCGAAGCAGCAAAAGCCGCGGCAATAACACCCTCGCCGGATCGGGTCAAGTGGGACTACAGAGGCCAGAGAAGGATAATTCCACTCGGCCAGTGGCTCCCGAAGATCGCCGTCGACGCATACGTGGCACCCAACGTGGTCTTGGCGGGTCAGGTCACGGTCTGCGACGGAGCATCCGTTTGGCCAGGGTCGGTCCTCCGCGGCGATCTCAATAAGATCACCGTCGGATTCTGCTCCAATGTTCAGGAAAGATGTGTCCTCCACGCCGCTTGGTCTTCCCCCACAGGTAGGTTCTTCAATTTTCTAGCTTTTCGATTTTATATTCCATTTGATTTCTTAATTTTTGGTTATTTCTATTTTTTTGTTTTGTTTGAGATTCTGTTAATTGTTCGATTAAAAGTGAGTTGGTAGCTGAATTGTAGTTTCAGATTGCTGCAGTGACTATAATTGTTGTGCATTTGTTAAGCTGTTGAGGTTAATTGGCTGAGAATTCGAAGAAAAATTTGAAACTTGTAAGTAAATACTGGAATTTCGTAGTACATTTGGGCCTTTCACTAGGTGTAATGTAACTCGCGAGCTGTTAGTTTTTCGGGTTCGGTGGTTGAGAAGATGGATAAGAGGAAGATGGCAAGAGGTGTACACATTTAAAGGAGATGAATTTACACTAATTCAGTGAATTTTTAATGGCTTTTAGTTCAGTTTTCTTCTCTTCGTTTGAATTTCGAGAAAAGTGATTTAAAGAATGGAGAAACAGATACTAGGGGTAGATTTTTTGTAGGAGAGAAGGAAAAAAGGCATCTTGTGTTGGGTGGGAAATTGTATCTTGTTAATGTAAGATGGATCATGTTTTGTGGAAGGTGTAGGCAATTTTAAAATCATAAATTTTACTCCTTTAGGATAAGGTGGCTGCGATTTCATTTTAGAAGAAAAAAAAGGGTAATTCCCTTTCCCATAGTGTCATCACAAGAAAATATAGATATGTCAATAACGGGCAATATAGTGGTTAGACCGGTAGAGGTTTGAGTCAATGTCCTTGTAAAGACACTTCAAAAGGTTGTTACTCGTTATTTCCTCCTGTCCCACTCTTCAACTTGTGGGGATTTCAATAAAATTAGACGGGAAGGATAAGTGGATTGGAAACTCTCCTTTGTGCGAATTAGGGAAGTATTTCCTAATCTGCCAATGTGTACGCTGTCTCGTCTCTGCTGAGCGGTTGAAGTTTTACTTTTTGTAGAATTTGAATGATTTGGAAGTTAGGCAGCTTTCTTCTTTACTTTCATGGATATAAATTTCTCCTTACTATTTAGAAGGAATAAAATATTTTGGGGAGTTGATGCTGGCTGTCTATTTTCATGCAACCACTGTTGAGTAGTGACTCTTGAGATATCCTTTCCTAGTTTTAATTCTTATGCAATGATTCGGAAGGAGTACTTTTGATGGTACAAATTTGTGCTTGCATTATTGCTCATGGTAGGAATTGGGATATCATTCGGAGGAAAGGCCTTAATTTTTTATGTCACCCTGTTGGTACATTATATCCGAAAAGGTTGGCAAGAATATTGACCTTTTTTTCTTGATTGCAATATTGCTTTGAACGTATGCCACAAGTTGATAAGGGAAACAAAGTTGTTGTGGGTGGTACGGGCTTTATGCATTTCTTTGTTCTTTGAGATTCATTGTGCTTTTGTTGGTGGGAAGAAAGCGACTGTCTTGTAGAAATAGTGTGATGGCTGTCACCTGGGTGGTATGGGCATAAATAAATAGAAGGGGATTTTTAAAAACAAGGGAGGGCAGGAGGTAGTGTTCTTTTAGAGGCAGTGTGTAATTGCCTCTGTCATTTGGAGTTTCTTTTCAGATATGGGGCCTATTAGATCATCCTTAGTCCATTCTCCATTTTCTGAGTTCATGGGTAGAGAGATATGCTAGGCATGGCTGTCAATCATTCAATATACAATATAGAAGTTCTCTTCGTTGTGAGGAACAGCGGGTTCCAATAATTATTGATGGATAAGATCAGTGGCATTTTTGCAGAGTTTTTTTATTTCAAGTGATAAGTAAGAAAGTTATAGTGTCGATTAGTTGGCATTTGTATTTAATGTTTTTAAACAGGTGACCGTTTATGGGCATCTGGCCATTCCCGAACTTATATCCATGCAACATCTCTTGCTAGAAACTTATTGAACGTTAAAGACTTACTTGGGATGTAAATACTGAGTTGGAATTCTTTAAGTTCTAACTTTGAGCATATAACCCTAGAGCATTGTATTTCTAAATTCGTTTTACTCCAAGTTTCCACAGATCTCTACATTGTTCCTGGTCCTAACCAGAGACTAACCTTATGCAAGTGATCTGATCTATCATCTTCATTGTCTTTGTGTAAAGAGCAAATGTTAATATTATCAATTTGTTTTAAAAATACATCGGTTGTTTGTGCATCTCTGAAGGCAGTAAGTGATTCTTTTGTATTCCATTGTTATTAGTTGATGTTTCTTGACATGCATATCAGGTGTTTTTCGGATTTTTTTTTTTTTTTTTAATTTTTATTGTTATTAGGGGAAGGGGGAAGAGTTCGAAACTATTACAATAATTTAGGGGAGGGGGAGTTTCAAACCCAGGATGCATGGGTAGGAACTTAGCACCCTATCCACTAGGATATTGGACCACATGCAAGAAATCATTGTTAGGATATGTTTAAATATGCAAGGAATCTATTGCTATTTGATCTGCTGGGATTTTCTGAGGGGAGTTTTAACAAAAAGCCCACTGCACTGTTCACTTTAACGAAAAACCACATTTTTACACTAAAAAGTCAATCATGGTACTATTCACTTTACCCTATATTTTGTCCTTATCATTAAAACTCAAAGTTGTTTTCAAGCCATTTTCATTAGTTTTCCTTTTTCTGGTTTATAATACGCAACACTTTCATTATCTCAGGACTTCCAGCAGAGACATCCATTGAGAGGTTTGTGACTATTGGCGCATACAGTCTGTTGCGGTCTTGCACGATTGAGCCAGAATGCATTGTTGGGCAGCATTCGATCCTAATGGAAGGTTCCTTGGTGGAGACCCACGCTATCCTTGAAGCTGGATCTGTACTTCCCCCGGGGAGGAGAATTCCAACTGGTGAACTTTGGGCTGGAAACCCGGCAAGGTTTGTCCGAACCCTAACACATGAAGAGACCTTGGAGATCCCCAAACTCGCGGTCGCGATAAATGATTTAAGCAAAGAATATTTCCAAGAATTCCTCCCGTACTCCACAGTATATTTGGAGGTTGAAAAGTTCAAGAAGTCCTTGGGGATTTCCATTTGATCAGTTTCATCATCATGTTTCCTTGTATCGTTTAGTTGGAGGCTTTCGTTGCAAGGAAGGAAATAAGCAGCTCCGAGACAGCAGAGCTATCTTTTTTGGGTGTCTACCTTGTATTTCGATCGAATTGTTTGAAATATCAACCGACAATCGGATGTTTAATAGTAGTTTCCAGCCAAGACTTGTCCGAAAATTCTGATCACTTGTTTCCCCATTTGTTTAGCTCTTTGTTTAAGCTCAATGTGTGTGGTTGTAGCTGACTTGATGTCATATATAAAAGATTCACCATTGCTGTTCTTCTAAAGTCATATAAACATATCGGCATATTGCGATGGCATCCAAAAAATTTTTGAGTCGTTTTTAATTCAACAATTATCGTCCATGAGATTCTCGTTATTCGTTTGTATGGACTGGGATTATAGATTATTAGGTTTGGTGGAAAATATTCCATCCAGCTGACCACGTCCTCTCCCTTTCCCCTTTTGGTTGGTGTAGCAATCCAGAACACCAACTAAACCATTATCTACTTTTCATGGAGAAATCATTTGTTTCACTACTTAAAGCAATAATTTACTCGAACGTTCACTTCTGCGTCTGAGATTCAGTGTTCGACTCTTCCTCCAACAAACGATATCAAAAGACTTAAATTACTTGATCATATCCCACAATGCATCCGAGATACTGATATCCCACAATGCAGACAATGATTGACCCAAATACACTTGAATACTGAATCTTGGAGGGTTTAAATCTTTTTATTTCCCCTCTTCAAATTTTTTTGTGGCCTAAGTGTGAAACTTGAAAGATGGATAACTTTTATTTTTGGTTGACAACAGGGCGTAAGCCCGAAAGAAAAAGAAAAATTACACAAGAATATCACGAGGCCACGAAACTCCAGCTATATTTGCAACTAGTAACCGACGACACGAAGATGGAGCTTGCTAAAATGATATTGGACATTTTTCTGACTGCTTTGTTTGTTTGTTTTTTTGTCGGCTGCCGACTATTTATTAATTTCCATTTTTCTTTTTGGTCAAATGCCGGCTATAACTTGTTTTTATGTTTTTGATTTGATTAATGGAAAATGGCTATTTCCGATTCTTCTTAAATCACTATTATACCTGCAATGTATAGTATTGCAACATTCGATTAGTGTGGGGATACGCAATTTTATATTTTTGCAAGAAAAAGGGTGAGACTATATTGAATTCCGTTCATTTGTATTAAAAGAAAATAGAGAGATTTTTCAACTAAGTTAAGCGTTCAATTCTCTTTTATGATGACAAAAGTTAAAGTAGGATTCGATTTCAAGAGCAGTGTCAAAGGTTAAACAAAGAAAGCTCTTATAAAATCTCTCTCTCGCTCTCTATTATGAGTAGAAATGGGAGCAATAGTCGATTTAGATCATCGTGTAACGTTACGGACAAACAGCAATACTGCAACCACTTTCTTCTAGAGGGTGGCTCTAAGTAATCCTGAGGTCAAATCTAGTTTCGTTTTCAGTTGGGTTGTTAGTTGTAGATATATTCATTTTTTCTTCACAGACATGCACTAAATCATGAAGAAAATGGGACAAGAAATTAGGTCAAGTCATTGACTGTTTTGGCTTAGTGGGTTGGCGAATATGCAAACGTAGTTTTTGTGTCTTTTGTGAGATAATGAACACGCCATTGCCATGCATTATCAGACGGCCTCCGCAACATCTACTAAACATAATTAATTCCAACTTGGATTTTAAGCCTATATTTAAGTTGTGTGGATTTCGACTTGTATTTGATTTAGCGGACTGCTAGCAACCTTTTCATTCAAACGTTTAATTTATTAGCTTTCTCTACATCATACAATGTTGCTTGATGAACGAAAAGTTTAGGTTACATTTAAAAATCAATTCTGAAGAAAAAAGCAACCAAACTAGAAACCGTTTGATTAACGTTGTCAAAATTTTAGCATTCAAGTAAGAAATATGATTCGTCTATTTATTGGATATAGTTAATTTATTGGAATAATGATTTTGAAGAGATGACACAGAAAATAGATAGTTTGAATCATCAGTGCAACATGCAGATTGAGAAGGATAGCCGAAAAGATTAAACCAAATGAAAGTATTCCCTCTAAACTCTTCAAGCGTGACAATTTGCACCCCTACAAAAATGATTTGGTTAGGTGAAGAGTTTCAATTATCTTCCATTTATAAACCTATTTAACGTATGCATTTTAAAGTCGTAGTTATGAGAATCTAAGAACTTTTCAAAGCACCAACCACAAATGAGACCTTCACTAGAACACATCTATCTCGGACGGCAATGAATTTCATACAATATTGTTGGCTGTTTAATTTCATGGTTTGCCTGTTCAACCTCACTGTTTTTCATTGATAATACTATAATTTGAATTCGTTCATTAGGGTTCTAAACAGAACCGGCTTTGAGGATGTGCAAGTGATGACACTGCACAGGGCTCTTCGTTCGGGAGGCCCATCATTTACGATTTTATTTTACATGTATGTAAAGTATATATATCTAAAGGTGCACTCGAACAGTTATATTTCTATTTGTTTGCAACCCCTCTCTATAAATTCCACTCTTTCCCTCATCACATTTGCAAATTCAATGGCTTCTCCACATCCATCACCTCTCTTTTTCCCTCTGCATCATCGACTACCTCGCGGTGGATATGTCACGGCGGAGACCAAGGCGATCGATATGTGTCACGGCGAAAACCAAATAAAGAAGGAAGTTTTTGAGAGAGTGATATGATCCATGGTGGTGGAAGTGATGACTCGTGCCCTTGTGGTTTTGTGTTCTTGTTTTGCTGGAAAATGTGGGATGTTGGAATGGTTCAATCAAATAAAATCTCCCAGAGGATTGGGTCATTTAATTTGATTGAGCCGTGCCAATATCTCAGTTGCATTTTAACTTTATCGTAATTTTTTTTTATAAAAGTAAGTAAATATATACAAATAGAATAGAACCAGTTATAAACAAAACAAGATAGAATTAGAAGCCGTACTATGGAGTACTTGGAAGACCTACAAAGACTTGGAAAGAGATTTGAAGAAAAAATATGGAATATTTAGAGCTAATAGAAGACTTGGTGCAATACAGAGCATCTTTATTGCTTTTTATTGTTGTCGTACACATACGAGTTGATGCCCTTCTATTGTATGTTTAGAGTAGGGTTTATTGGATGTTTAGTGTCATTCAAGAAATATTTTTGATTAAAAGTTTATAACCGATTCTGCTTTTGCAGCTTTCCTTGTTTCTAATTAGTATATATACACACATACATAGTACAACATATACGTATACATAATCATAACTGAGAGAAATCATGTTTTATATCAGAAATACACCAAACATGATCAACGCACTTTCCCATTCATGCTTTTCTATATTTTCTTGAAAAATAATCTCGCACATAATAATATAAATGTCTGGATCATCAACTGTATATAAAGCCTTTTGTGTATTGCATGAAAGCGTGCTATGCCGAAAAGAAAACACCTAACTGCAAATTGAAGCGTGCTATATCGATCACCGACTGTATAGCCGAAACGTATATAAACAGTTAGTGTACTAAAACAAAGAGATTCAAGGGAAGAGCAGCAGGCAACATCTAATGCTCCAATGGTGCTGGTGCTGGAGTATATGACAGCACAAGATAAATGGTGCAGTAGACATGCAGAGTGCAACGAGCATCGCTATCTTTCTGAGATTCCCCGGTCAACCTCAAAGAGCCACGTGCAATTTCTCCCCCGCAAAATATTCCTGCCAACGGAACCGTGGAGAAGTTCTCCACAAAAGGAGAGCCATCAACATTGGCGCGTCCAAAGAATGGCTCACCACGGCCACAACAAGCAAACATAAAACCCCCAAATACTTCGCTCATGTGACAGTGATGTTTTTGAGTTTGATTGACCTTCAATTTTTTCAGGCTTGAAGAGATGCAGCTACATGAAGCTAATGCAGTTTCGGGGTCTGAACGGTAGAAGTTGAAGTAATCGCCAGTTTTTATGCCAACGCCACTGACATAAAGGTACTGATCATCTCCTCTGCAGAATAGCTTCATGTTAATAGTTAAATCAAAATCAGAAATGATTTATCAAATCATCAAACATACTTCAATCAACTATCCATGTGGAAATGTGCAGGAAATGCATTTTCATGCCAAGATGAAAAAGAGTTATAAAAGGATAGAAAGAAGTATATTTCCGATCAAACGATCAATTAGTTCAATTCATCCATTGAGATCTATTACTAGTTTCCTAGAAATCAATCACTTTACCGCAACCAGGAATTTATAGTCATTGCCCACAATAGAATTTCTAGGTTTAGGTTAGACGTAGAGGCTTTTATGAATTCCATTTCTGAATAGTTCAGATGGAGCATAATAAGAAAAAAGCATGTGTGTGTGTGTATATATAAGAACAATTCTGAAGCCCATTAAATGACAGTCATTATTGAAAATAGTTGTGGCATTATACATGTTATAGCCAGTGACCCGAGACCACACGATAACACAGATTGGTCTCAGCAAAGGCAGATGCAGATGATGGAATATATAATACATGAAGAAGAAGATCTTAGTACCGCCTCCGAATTAAGGTCTTTTACTTGACATTCTTAAATTGATTTTCCAGCTATGATCCTGTACTAACCACTATTTGATAGTGGAAAACAAACAGTAACAACAGTGAAGTGGCAGATGGAGCAAGGAGTTTGACAGGGATGAGCAGACGAACCATAAATCAAAGCGTAGGACACAGTGAAGGATGATCTTGTTTTAAAGAATTTCATATTTCTTCATTACAGGAACATATGCAGCAACAATTAGACAATACTAGCCAATTAAAAAAGTAGTCCTGAGTATTACCCTACAACTCCATGGTATTCCAAGGACGTGATCCACCTTGGCTTCTCTGACCCAATAGAGATTTTTCTACGTTTCGTAACCCCAATGTACAGATCCGAAGAATCAACGTGATTTGCTAACTGTCAAATATTCATTTGAAAAACAAACACAGGCACTTGTAAGAAGCATGATAGTTCTAAAATAATCAGATTTCTTAAACAGAACTCACTTCTAATATATTTAATTCACTAGACTAACGTAAAACAACGCTTCAAGTCAACTGGCACTTTCAGCAGACTTTTGAAATGCACCACATGGAAAATTTAACTGTAAGTTTTACCTCATCGTTGATATCATCGAGAATTTGTTGACCGTCCAGAATTTCTGGGTGTCCTTCTCTTCTAGCAGTAAGCCAAGTAGAACGCTCACAGTCATTCACTTTGACAGAAACAGCCTTGTGCCGGGAACCGACTGTGGACACTCCATTTGATAATGCAATTTGGAATTGAATGTCTCCAATACCTTTTCATTTATACAAAACCGAATAAGTGCCTAACAAAACACATTGGGTAGTTTGACATGATAACTTTACAGAACAAGAAAGCCACCATAGATATGTTGTTAGAGTAAGAAGGAAGCAAATAAGTTTCAAGGAAAAAACGGAAGCAAATGTGTATGAAACCTTACGAGTGCATAATGAGGCATACGATATATCTGAAAGTGCACTTATAAAATAAGAACTATTTGGAAAAAGCTATGCATGAAAGAAAGATGAAAAATCTTCACTTGTGAAAATTAAAGATCAGCATGCATCTCTCAAATACGAGAACCCTTAAAGTTATTCAATTTTGATAAAACATGGTTCCAAAATTTGGAGATATACTGTAATTGAAAGTTTGAAACCGAAAGAAATTTTATAAAGCATGAAAGCATTAAACATGTTTACCTAGGAAAAAAGCATTAAACACGAAAAGGACTAGTTCACAAATGAATACATCTTGATGTGTTTCAAATCTTCTAGGGAGATTGCAAAATAGACTGCATCTGAAGTGGCTCTGATATTGGAAGGCCCTATCGAGAAGTGATATGTACCTTTTATTTCTTTCTTTACTTTGTATCTGACACTTCTGAAGGCATGCAAGTAGCTAATTGAATAGAAACCTATGCTGGAAACAAGGGAAAAACGATGCTGTATAAATGAATAAACCAAATACTTACCATGTGGCTTGTCTTTATCCTTGGCAAATACAAGAGTAACAGCATCGGTAAAGTATTTTGCACTCCCACAGACATTTCTAGACTCGTTCTCACTTCTATATAAAAAGCGACCTCTCTCATCACCCACAATGACAGTTTCCGCAGGCATAGCATAATCTGCAACAAATTGAGACATTGAGATATAATCAACAAAAATTGAGTCCCAGCATGAGCATGCAACATTAAAGTTTATCACAACACAAAATCTGAAAGCAGCAGCTTATCTCCCTAATGTTTCGAGCGGTAAATAAATGATTCCTTGTTTTTATTTATTATGTCCTCAGGACTCACTACTCACCCAATGCATCAACAATCGGTTTCATGTCACGAAGGCCATCCTGTACCATTAATCATTCACATGTTAGCAATGCGGCAAAGGGAAGCTACATCTGATTGAAAGAAAGAATGAGTGAAATAAATAGGCAATAAAGTATGAGGACAACCACTCACTCCAAACATCATAATTCCAACCGGGGACGTGCAATCTGAAACTGAGGCTGTGTAATCCTTAATATCCATGATGAATTTATCAAGCAAGACTTCTCGAGGATCCTGATATCATTAGAAACTATTTATGTGTCAAGAAAATCCATTATTCAAACTACAGAAAGAGCTTGAAAGATTCTACAAATTCCCAAAAATGACAGTAAAAATCCAAAGACCGTATGTCTTAAGTTTCCCTCGTTTGAAATTCACCGCTGTGGAATTCTCAAAGAAATCAGATTTGTAGTTATACTGTAAAATTTGGCACCTTTATTGTTCGTAACAGCGGGATGGCATCAACTTTCAATCCTGGCACAAAGCCAACAGTCAAAAGGATGCCGTAGTTCGCATCCTTTGCTGGTATAGAGCAATCTTCATCACTTCCATCACCACAAACCTCTCCCCACTTAACCTAAACAATCACATTTCATCTGAAATCAGTAAAGACTTAAACTTGCTGCAAACTAATGAACAAAAACCCAGCAAACCCGAAAAACACAACCACGAAACCTCCTTGAATTCATGGGTAAGAGCATCTCTTCCAAATATTCCACTTGAAGTAGAAATGATGAATGGAACACTGGACCCCAATTTTTTCGATATCTGCAATTTCAAACATAGAACAAAATAAAAATCCATAATTTGCTTCTCTTAATTCAAATGCATCTAATTATATACTAATTAAGATTAAGGGGTTCATAAGAGCAAGAACACATACAAGCTTGGAAATGTCATACAATCCAAACCCACTTCCAATATTAGCTACAACAAAATGAGGCCGTATCGGCTCAGCTAGAACCTTTTCGATAACCTCCTTCACCGCAACCTATCAATTCCAACACCAAAATTGAGAAAATGTGGGACAAAATTTGAGCTTGTGATTTTCTCGGAAACCAAACAGGGGTCTAGACCCTAAACCAAACCTTAGGCGAGGGGTGGAGAGAGAGGGCGGAGGCGAGCTTCGGGCGAGTGAGGATTCGGCTGCAGATTTGGTTCCAGGATTTGCTAACGCACGCCGCTGATGCGAAGGATAAGGCGGGTAGGCGCGAGAGGATTTTGTGGAGAAGGTCGTCGTTTATCGGCGAAAACAACCCTGTCGCCGCCGTTTGGGGCCGTTTTGTGTCGGTTTTTATCGCCGCAGCCGCCGACGACGATGCCCCGTCCATCGGAGAGCTGCTTGTTTCGTAAAGATGCCGACTTTCAGAGTCTCAAGTCTCAAGTAATTGTAAAAGTCTGAAGCTTTGGTGTGTGCATGTTTTGGTTTGGTTGGAAAAATCGAACACGTCTGAAGCTTTGGTTGGAAAAATCGAACGTAAAGGTAATTTTCTCATTTTTTTTTTAATTTTTTTATTATTTTAATACGATTGATATTTTACATTAATAGAAAAGAGAGAATTTGATTCCAAGATGGCTTGGTCGAATAAAAAAATTCAATTTTACGTATAACTAATATTACATGTCAAATAAAGCTGATAAATTTTCCTACAAAAATTGTTAGATACTTCAAAACTTATCTACATAAGACTAACTATTTAAAAACCGACGTGTTACGAACTGTTAACCATAAAATTAAGCAAAAAAATACACATCAATTAACTGTACCACTTTTTATTAAATTTGTAAGAAACATACATAAACATAACACTACTAATTATCAACACTACAAGCACTTCTTATTTGACTACAGAAGCCATAGTGAAATGCTTGCCCTAGACCTAGTACATAAAAACACTCACAACATATGACAACACAAACACACCAACTTCTGCCCAACACCCCAACAAAAACAACAAACTTTATTCTTTTTCAATGGGAGAAGACGGACCAAACATCTACTCCTCCAAGTAACATGGAGCTTGGGGAGGAACCTATGTAATGGCCAAGTACACAGAGCTACAAGCATGGACACAACAACGAGGATGACCGAGTTCTTGATCTTCTTCTTCACCAAGCAAACCACCACACGCGATCTCCCCATTGCCAAACATTCTGGCTACCGGAACTCCCGGGAAGTTGTCAGCAAACGGCTTACAATCAACATTAGGTCTATTGGACATCGATGTGCCGCATTTCGTGCTGGAGAAGATAAACCATCCGACCACCTCTGGCTGGATTTCGGAATCATTGTGGACCAAAGTTTGAAGGTTATCACATGTATAATCAATGGTGTTCGATGCAGTTGCAGCATCTGAATGGTAGAAGAAGACGTCGTCGGGTTGGATTCCCACACCATCAACAAGAATGAAGTCCCAATATCAACTGTTGCAAATTTCAAACATCAACATAGATATAAATACATATATATATATGTGTGTGTGTGTGTGTGTGCTTTCTGTGTTCCATGCAGAATTACCCTGAGCCCAGTTCACCTACACAAACGTTACAATGTTCAACAACATGATCTTAATTGGTGCCCAAATGTTATTAACCAAACTTTAAAATTTTCATAAACTTAAGAACATGCCTCGTTCAGATTATGAGTTTCGACATCAGTGCCGATTAGTCCCATAGCTCTGTTGGTAATGATTGGAACTCCAGAACCTATTTTCTCAGTGATCTGCTCGTTAATACCATAACAATTAATAAAAAATAAAAAAAACTTAAATTTACAAGTTGGTGAGTTGGGTCGAGAGAGCATTTGGCCACAGTTCTTGTTCCAATTTGTGTTGACGCCGGCTGCTGATGAGAACTCAACCCCCGGTAGCCTCCCCAGAATGTCCTGCAAAATTTCATCGTCGACCCGAGAAAACACTCCTTGTTCACGATCAATGTTCAGTTTTGCAACCGCCATCGAATTTCCCTTACCACCTCTGCTTTGTCTATGAGAACAGAACATGAGTTTGTTTTGAGTAGCTCTGTTCTAAGGTGATAGTGGTAGAGGGAGGTCCTCTTTTATAGGCGTTTTATTTTGAGTTCAGCACCAAAAGGTGGTGCTTTTTGCTTGAACACCATAGACTTTTCTATCTACTCTGGAAAAGAGAGCAATCCAATAAAACCGTACATTGATGTACGGTTCAGATTGTGCGCTCCAATGCAGTGTTTACCTGTGATTCTACTATAACCATATCTATATTCAATTGTCGCATATTTTGTCTTAAAATTGTTTGTCGGTTTTTACCTAAATGTCAGAAACACAATTAATCCGTATCTGGTCGTATTGAATTCTTTAAAAAGTCGTCTCTCTTTTTCATCACGGACGTCTGATAACGTAATAATCGAATATAGACTCACTGAGTTGTTTTTAACTCGTATGTTGGTTTTGACAGAAATGTTAAAACCCAGTTAAATAGTAATTGTTCTTATAGACTTGTGTTTAAATCCTTTGTTCCACACAAATAATTTAATTTTAAGCTCATATTATGCTTAAGATTTGAACATAAACGTAATTACATGATTTTAAGTGTTAATAGCACGATCATTGCGAATTTCAAAAACGAAACTCTAAAAACATGTGATTATTGGAGCTTACATAGGTGTATTATGAATGATTTATGTGCTTTAGGCATTTAAGAATTGGATTTGGCATGTTTTTATCAACTTCTGCAATTTAGGGTTTTGGAATCGTTTTCTTTTCTTTTCTTTTTTGATATACCCACACATATAGATCAACATATAAAATGCATATAGCGTAGAACAATAATCATAGTATTCATAGCATAAAATAACTTGAAACCGAAGAGATTAGGGTTTAGTATTTCTTGGATGTTGATGAAGATGGTGAAAAGCTTTCGCGAGGTTTCTTTCAGGGATCTCTCCTTCTTGCAAAGAGAGACATTTCGTGCTAATAATGTGTTGTAATACTAATTTTGAGAAGGGTGAGAGACGAGGACGACTAAGAGAAAGAAGGGCCAAGGTGTTTGAGAATTGTATGTTCACCCCCTGATTTTTTACCTTTATTTATACTAATCATGATGGACATTATTGCCTTAAAAGTAATACAAACTCTATAAAGATTTGATCTCCAAAACCTATTGGGACTCTACTCTAAGTTTACACAATCATATTACTAAATAAACACATTAATGACAACAATTCTTCACTCAAGACATCTATAAATTTTCACAATTATTTTTAACATCTTATTCACCTCTCTTTATTTCTAACCATTAGATTGAATAAATCAAAGAAAACAACAGACATGATTAGTATAAAAAGGAAAAAATGATGCGTGTTTATCATTTCTCTAGAAATATAAGAAAAAAATATACTTAAAATTAGTCTATTGATTTTTTTTAAAATGCCAATAACGCCGCCCTTTAAAAAAAACCACCATTTCAATTTTGCACAAAAGTAATTGCAAGGTTAAGAAATTGTGAATGCAAAAGCATTTTTGTCCATCACGATTAATAAGGAGCCCATATAATTAATCATAGTTGAAGAGTACATAAATAAATGGTATACTTATGTTTACATGAACAAAAGAAAAGGCATCCAAAATCATACAAAGAGGTTCTAAATTCCACTCTGCAACCACTGATCTAGAAATCCTGCAAATAATTTTTGCTACTGCCAATGAAAAGGAAGTGTTTGAGGGGATTGATGGTGTTGATTCCCATTGCCCTGAGAACCATCAGAGATTAACCGAAACATTCCGGGGCAATGAACATTTGCATCACCACTTCCATTGGAGACCAAAACTGAATCCATGGGCTCCATGGCACTGTTGTTTCCGCGTAGACCGTTGGGGCCTAGTCGTTGTTGCATCAGAGAGATTGAGTTAGGCTGCTGCACTGTGTGTCTCAAACCTATTTCCGATGTCTGCTGCGTCTGCGGTGATGACAGAAGAGAGAGAGCACAGTCCGAATCATGGATTTGAGTTGTTAACCTGTCACAAAACATCTTGCTCTTTGTTGTCCCACCACCACCACTAGCAGTTTCGGAGAATGAAATGTTGTTGAGAAGGGGTTGGCAGACAGAAGTGCCATGATGATGAGATGTTTGGTGGTTGTGGTGGAGTGGAGAGCTGTTGCTGCTGCTCTGGAAGAGCGAGAACTGCTTTCCTCCCTTGTAACCGCTGCTGCTAGTGCTACCTGAGGACCCAAGGAACATGTTTTGCTTATCGATCAATGGCAGCTGGAGGTTATGAACCCCGGAATCTGGCTCAGTTTTGACAATGCCGGCCCAGGCAGGGTTTATGACATTGGTGGAGGGGTATACAAGTGAACTAGAGAATGGCAACAATTGGGTACCTGCAACAAGTGGAAAAACAAATTTTAGTGCAATAAATCCACTTTGGTTTTTTCTCAGCTTACCCTCTCAGCATCCGTTCGTGCGAAAGTTTAATTTAAACACTCATACAAGGTTGTGATTTATGATCAGTTTAGTGACAGCAGAGAAATTAAGCAGCACCTGACAGGAAGATTAATAGTTCCAAAGAATCTTAAAAAAAATTGATTTGAAGAGAAGGATCTGCTAGTGGCCACTAGATCATCAACTGTGGCAGGACCACCGCACATAGTTGATGAAGCACTCAACCAAGTGGATGTTCAAATAAAATGCCTGCTTTCACAGCTTTAATTTTGATAAAGTACTCCTCCACAAACAAAGGTTGCAGCTAACCTTGGTAATTGGACAGAAAACTTCCCGGGTGCGACAAGGGTTCTGGTTGAGGCTTCCTTCGCCGCCGGTTGTGTCCATCAAGACGTTTCCTGCAACTTCTCTTTCCCTCATCAAATTCCTCCGGAGCATGGAACCTTCAGAGAAAAAAAAAAACAAAAACAAAAACAAAAAGCTCACGTAAGGGACTTGATCTTGCCAGGATCATGGTTCGAAACAGAGGGAATAACTCATGTGAATGAAGCTAACGAATACGCACATATCAGTTGAAACATTTGCCAGTTTATCATTGAAGTTCCATAAAAAATAATACACACAATACAAGAGTCTAGCTAAAATTAGGAGTTAACAAAAAGGATGTGCAATTTGTTCCATATCGAAGCAAGTAAGCAGCTGGAAAGAAAATTTCAGCTCAGTATAGTGGCAATTCTGTATGAGGATCCTTCGAACCAACACTGTATATCCGAAATAATCAACTAGCTTACACTTTATCTCATAAGTAACAGGGATCTGCGCACTAGATCCTTCAAACGAATTCAACGAAGCATTGCAGAAACATAAAATGGCCTTAAATATGCACTCTTTATGTGATGTCTCTACAATTATAGCACTAAACAAAACTACATGATGATCCATTAAGGCAGCAGAAAGCAAGATGGATGAACAAACTCCAATTGACAATAATTTCGGACGATCATTTTACAAATGAAATCGAAATGCAAATTCAAAATATGCAAATGACACATTCATCAAATCTCACACCTGCTACACTGCTGGCAAAATCGTTGCTTGTTACCGTTAATAGTGACCTGAGGAGTCTTTGAATGTAGCTCACAGACCTTATGCCGCCGATGGTAATCCCTACAAGTACTAAGGTCCGAATTGCATCCATCAACGAGGCATGAAACCATCTGAGATCCACTGTAAGCCGCTCTTGACCTCTTTAATGATCCAGAAGGAGATGATGAGGTAGTTTTCGGACCACCCGGCTCCTTCAGCATACCCACGAGCTCATTATTCCCAGGGCCACCCAACTGACCAAGCTTCAAATCAACCGAAAAGTTGCTGCCTTTGAAGGTCCTATGATCTCCAAAGCTGCTAGACCCATCAACTGTAGTGTCTAAGTTAGAAAAGGTTCCTTGTTCTAGTTCAGGCAAATCCCAAGAAGCTGCTTTCAAGTTCCAGTCCATAAAAGCACTTATTTCAAAAGCTGATTGTTCCTTTTTGCTTTCCCCACCCTCCCCCCACCCCTCCCTCAACCCCCCTCAATTAAGCTTCTCTCTTGCTGTTTGCAACTGTAACACCTTCAATAAGAATGTAAATTCAAAAATTCACACAACAAACAACATCAACAGATTAAAAATACCAAAATTAACCACATCAGAAATCAAATTACGCAAAGATTTAGTTCTGGATTATCTTATGGACTCTCAAATTCAAAAGGGTATTAATGTATTACATCATATAAAACAGCAATATGCAGAATTAAGAAGAATTGACTACTTAACAAAGAAAACACAAAGTAGGAAAGCAAGAACTGCAGCTCTGGACATTGCAATTTTTTAGAACCCCAAACTAGAAAGTGAGAGAATTTTGTTCCTTCCAATAAATTAATGATATGGAAGCAGTGTTTTTCCAAGAATTCGGGAAGCTAAGAAGATGGAAAACTTTACTATTTTAGACCATTATTAAACAAATAAATAAAAACAAACGAACAAAGAGAGAGTGAGAGAGGAGGAGGAGAGAGAGAGTAAACTTACAGATAAGGGGTGCAGAAGAAGTATGGTTTTCCAGCCATTTATTCACTGACATGGATTCCATTAATAACCAATAAAGTGGGTAGTAAAGGAAATAAAATATAAAGCTAAAGCTTGAAAATTGATTAGTTGGGGGTGTGTAGGTTAGGAAGTGAAGAATCACTTATTGTACCTGTCAGCAAAATACCATTGGAGGTATCTGCTGCACAACACACTGAAGAGAAAGTAGAGAGAGAGAGAGGAAGAGGGAAAGAGAGAGAGAGAGTGAGAGAGGCACTAGAAAGAAGGGGCCAATCTCACTTGAGCTTTATTAAAATATTTCTTTTTGTCCATTTTAGGGTTTGTATGAAATTGGTGAGGGAGGAGAGAAGGGAAAATAGCGACAGTTTGTTTGTAGCTTTCAGACTTTCACAAACCAAAGAAAAAGAAGTACAAGGATGGATGCTCAGGACAACCCATGTGGCATTGTGTTTCACATTTCATGGCATGTCCTTCCTTTTGGGTTCCTTTTACTTCAAAGTTCAAATCCCTCTTGTGCACCCCACGCCCTCTCATGGCAAGTGGGAAACTCACATCCCCCATTCAACTTTTTCATTCAAGATTTAATTATAGCGGATACATCGTTGTCTTAATATTCTTAAGGTAATAACATTAGTCGTACGCTTTTACTTTCTCACACAACTATACGATATTATCTTCAAATACCATTCCAGTTACGTACCTGATCCAAGTAAGTGTCTCTCAAGATGAAGCCTAAAGCACTAAAATTCCAATGCTTTGCTTTCATTTGAATTGAAACTTTTAAAGACTTTTGCTGGGCTGTCTGTCGCTAGGATTGTTAGAAATGGGTCCCTTAATAGCTTGGATTAATAATTGTATACCTTAATTACCAAAACATAAATAAAATAAAGAAAAACTAATGACAAGGGTTTCAAAATTTTGAGTTTTAACAATACGGAAAAAGAAAGAAAGAAAGATAAATGAATAGTACCATGATTGACTTTTTAGTGTAAAAATGTAGTTTTTCGTTAAAGTGAATAATACCGGGAGCTTTTCGTTAAAGTGCCAATAAAATAATTGAACACTTTGTTAACTACATTAGTACCGACCTGTCTTGGGACATTAAGGGAAGGGGCTTTCCATGTTATGTTAGGTGGTGAAGAAGAAGAATAAGAGGAGAGATTTTTCAATGAGTTTGGAAAGCGGGATGGAACACCACATATCCTTATATAATTGGTCTACCCGTGTTTCGAGCACACTAAAAAATCAGACAAATAAGAGGAGAAAGATTTAGGAGTAAGACATTGAGAGCAAAACATGCAAAATGTGGGACAAGTTTTGGGTATGAAGCACATTTCCAATGGAATTTGATTAACTACATTAGTACTTTACATCAATTTCAGGTCGGGAAGTCAATTAGCCAAAGGTATAATATTCAAATTCTCTTTGTCTATTTGTGTGTGCCATACCAATGATATCGATTCATACGAATAGTTGGGTTTCTTGCATTCAAATTGACAAAATTGACAATGAAGAATTTCACCAATGTAATGGATTCCATGGACATGAATAATTTTGAGCTTTTTGAGACTTTGGTATCTAATTGATAAATTAAAATCAACTAATTTCAGTGCAATCATAATGTATTTTCTCACTCAACCTGATCACTTAGGTTAATTTTCATTATTGCGGACCGCTAAAGCAAACGCATTTTTGAACCGCATACTGGAATACCTCTTTAATAGATGTGTTGTCATTGTTCACTAATATGAGTTGGATAGTTAACGCTCTCATAAAAAAACAAGTCTCAATACATTTGAGTATTATCCGGCCACACGTTGTGATTCCCAAAATTTTCATACAAGAAAAAGACGTTACAATGTGATGTAAATAACATACTTTCCTCGTTATGTCCTATTACTCTTTGTCTTTGAAATTTCAAACATAGTAATAGTTATGGTCCCTGTAAATTTGACAACCAAATAGCTAGAAATATTTGGTCCTTGGACTTTTGAGGAGTGCCGCTACTTGCTAGCCGAGCGCGTGAGACTTAAATATAAATGTAATCATTGTGCATCTTTGCAGGCCCATTGAAGGAAAGAGAGAAGGGAAGGTAGGCGCTGTCAGAGTCGGACTCAAAAAACTTCACCTCCAACTTTGATTTTCATGGCCCAAAACATAACTCGTGTCCTAAATTTCTCAATTTTTTTAGGTACAGCAGTCCTGAAATTGTTATGATTTCTTATTTTAGTAATTGAGATTTAAAATCGATAGAACTAGTTTCTTAGTTTGTTCACCATTAATCATTTTGGTCATTCCGTAAAAAATATTCGTTAAATAAGGGTAAAATGATAAAAATACTCAATTTTTGTCAAATTATTTTGGCGCATTGTTTATTAAATTGAGGTATTTTGTCATTTTGATCTTTATTTAACAGAGACTTTCACAGAAGAACCAAAATGATTGATAGTGGGTAAACTTAGAAACCACTTATATCGATTTCAAATTTCAATGAGGAGTTATGTCAATCTGATTTACTATTTTTGTTAATTTCATGAAAAATAGAAGTATGACTAGGTATAGTTTGATAATAGTCTAATTTTATGAAATAATTTGAGAAATATGGCTAATTGAGAAATATGATTATAGACTAATTTTATAAAATTTCAATTATTTTGAAATTATGAATGTTTTACCTTTTTTGTCTGACTATATATATATATATATTTTTTAAATATAATATATATATATATTTTTTTTTAAAATATAATATATATATAACATTTTTAATTAATAAAATTCTAAATATAAAACAAGAAAAAATTTAGATGTAAAAGAGTAAATTGCTACACGCGTGAAGTAATTGTTTAAGTGTGAAGATGAAAATACATGATTTGTGGAATATTCATCATCATACAATTTTTCCCTCGGAAAGCAACATTGGTATAATAATTGGAGGTATATCATACTTGTACAACAATGTATCTACTCTAAACATTTCACTTACAAATAAAAATAAATATCGTCATTTATCATATTTGAATTCTAAACCTTTCACTTATAAGTAAAAACAAATATCTTTAACTGTAGTACTAAGTGATTTTTTTCTTTTATTTATTAATTTAAAGAAAGGCCAATAAGGAGTTAATAACTTTTTTTCGGTACAAAAAAGTTTCGAACAAGGAGAGGCTTTGAGAGTTAGAGTATACCATAAGTCTTTTTTAAAACTTATAATAAAAGTTTTAATACAATTTTTATGATTTTTACAAATTATTTATAGAAAAATTACCGGCATCAAGACTCGAATAAAAAAAGGTGTGATGTATAAATTATTGAAGGGTGAAAAAGTCATGCTCTAGCAGCGAGACAAGTCCTTTAAATCTGCAAATAACAAAAAAGTCAGTGTGGGCAGCTGTATTGGGACTGTCCGTGGGACCAAACTCTTTGTCAGCAGGGGAAGAAAGGTTTCTTCATAGAGATTAGAGAGTAGGCTGAAAATTACTTGTCATGTGTCGCCTTACCTACTTTTTTTTAAAGGAAAGCAACTGGTATGAAACGTGTTCAATGTTAGCGTACTATATTATTGAATTCACGTAACGATTTTAATGTAATTCATCGCTTGAGAGAGAGAGATTCCTTTAGTATGCAATCGTAACCAATAAAACGTCAAATTGCATTAATTTTGTTAATTTAAAATGACACGATAATGTATCAAAGAACGTAACGTAATTCCATTTCCTTCTCCACCTCGAAGAAAAAAATCCTAATGTGTAGTTTTCAGTTGTCGGCACCATGGCACTGCCATGCTACCATGAATTTGTCATATTGATTTTGTCACCAACCTCAAAGTACATCATCTACACGAACATGATTGATACATTTATATGAAAATCTTGACAAACCTCAACAAGATTCTTTTCGGATTTTTTATGAGGATTCTAGGAATTCGTAAATTGTGTTTGTTCATCGTACATCTTGTGGTTTGTTTTTATTAGGTACTGTTTGTATTTAATTTTAAATAAAAATATTTAAAATGATTTCTAATTGCATAAGAACAAACAGGATTCACAAATTTATGAAATCCTCATAAAAAAAATATGGCGAGATTCCGGATTCTGACAGACTCATCTGATTTGTGATTTGGATGTAGAGTTTCAAAACATAGGATTCGTGAGTCACGTAAAATTTCGTGTGTCAAGTTTCGTCGCAAATTCTAGAGCTGGTACAAGATGTCATTTCACTAATTAGCAAATGCTAAATTTTTTAACATAAAAAATGTATATTAGCTAGCTTGACATCGACATGCTCATATTATGCGTCATATGTGGACAACTCAATTTTGGACTTTCTTGCTTACTCTTTGGTTTTAGGTAGGGGTGGGCAAACGGGTCCTGGACCTACAGGTTTAGGTGGATCCTTGCGGTTCAAGACGGGTATGGGACGAGTCCAGAAATTATAAATACAAAACGGGCGGGGCCGGTTCCTAGTAAATAACGGGGTGGGTCGATTCTAAAAGTTAGAGAAAACGGGCCCCCAGCCTGGACCGTTCATTCCTACTGACTATTGTTTATTACCCTTCTCAAACCTAATTTCACTCAAGCCTCGCCCTCACCCTCTCTCTCTCTCTCTCTCTCTCTCTCTCTCTCCCGAGTCCACTCTGTGTCTTCTCCCTCGTCTCTCGATCTCTCTCGATCTTTTCCCGATCTCCTCTCTCTCGATTTCCTCCCGATCTCCTACCTTTCGATCTCTTCCCTTTCTCTTTCTCTCTCTCCCACAGTCTCTCTCTCTCTCTCCTATCTCACCCGCCCTAAACCCAACTCAACCTCTTTCTTCCTCTTGTCTTCTTTAACCTTCACAAAGCATAACCAGGCATATACCCAGGAATCGGCTTAAGATCCGCGACATCAAGCTCTGCTTCCCGCGCCGTCTTCCATAGGTACAGTAAAATTATACACACACACATATACACACGTAAATGTGTATCTAAATATTTTAATTTAAAATGTTAGCTTTGAATTTATGAAATGATTGTTAGGTTTTATGCGGCGGATGTGAGGGCGGAGAGCTTCGAGGTGCTCGACAAGTGTAAGAGGAAGGTTGTGGTGACGGCGAATCCAACGGTGATGGTGGAGCGAGTTTGGGTTTGGGTCAGGTCGAGCTTGGCTGAGACGATGAGCGAGTTGAAGATCGGGAGGATGAGCGAGTCTGGGAGACGATCAAAACCAGAATAAAGAAAGAAAAAAAGTAAAGAGGACCTGTGGACCCGTCCCGAACCGACCCGTTTGAAATGGGCCGGGTTAGGTCCGGTTCCAATGATCAGATTTGTAATACCCGGCCCTGCCTGTTTCCTTTTTAAGCGGATTTGGTTCGGTCCCTCTAAATTTGGGCTCGGCCCAACCCATGCTCACCCCTAGTTTTAGGGCCAAAATCTTTGAAATATGAGGAATATGTTATGAAAGACATAGAGATAGGAATAAACCACCAGTATACTGTATAATTTTTTTTTTTCATTTTAAAGATCCAACTCTAAATTTGTGTCATGACACCGCCTTTTAAAATTCTTTATTTTAGGAAATTGTTATATGTATTCTGGAGATTTAATTGGGCACTACTCACGAGTGTATTTTTCTTTTTAAGTTTGAAGTGCACAATAAGAATTTTGGAGTGCTAATAACACTGAAAGGTTTATAGATTCGAACACAAAACATCTCAGTGCAAAGTGCATGCTTTTAACCAGTTGAGCTACAACCAACTTAGAAACAAGTTAAAATATTTGATATGCAAATTTATGAAAATATCGATGTATATATTGATATCGGTTGCCTTTGACTGAAATTATAAAAATATGCAATGAGATGGGTATATCAACTTATTCAGATTTAGTCGATATTCATTGAGTTTCCTAAATTTTTGCCCGACGTGAGGTGAAGTTTATATTTCGCCCATTTTCATATCGACAAAAATATCAACAATTTCGTGGATATTTTAAACATGGCTTGCAAAAGGTTTTTAGTTTTAGAAGGATAAAAAACGAAAAAGTGGTTTTAGTTCTAACAATGCCTTCAAAATAGTTGTTGTTCATACATTCTTAATTGGAATCGTTTTTCTCCACTTAGGTTTCATACCATCCTAAACCTAGTTAATATTCTTTTGCAATTATAAGGATTGGTGATTGTTGAATTGACCGAGTCACGTTCATACGCATGGCTCTATACCATGCATGAAATTTGTAATTCAAGTAATAAAGAGCGGTTATTACTGTATTCGAAGTTTTACCATCTTTTAACTAATATCATTTGTATAAGAAAAGAAAAATAACTAGTTGTGGTCTATGAAGCTACGGTTGACTGCATCATTTTCGATATTTGTAAGCTTGCAATAGGGCGGCTCACTCGGTCGCTTTGTATGTCAACCGGAAGAGGGGTTATCGTAGATGGAGATTATTGTTTCTTGATTTTCTATTTAATATTCTAGCTGACGATGTAAACATTGTTATTCGACTTGATTAATAAACCCTTCTATCATTCGATAATAAAAAAAAAGCACGGATACGACGAATACACATTTCGAACCAATCACGTAACATGGTATTCGGAACAAAGCTCAAGTCTTTAATATGGGAAGGTACACAAACTATATAGGTTTCTTGGACTCAAAGTTCCATGTATAACACCTGAATTAATATAAACATTGGCTGATCATATTTTTGTATCCATACATGCATCATGCATGGTCTATGTACACTTCGCATGATATATCTGTTTGGGCTCAAAATAATATTGTTGGGCCGAGCAGCAGGATGTGCTCGGCCCAAGGCTATGCCAAATACTATGGGCCGAATGATAAATCCCGGGCCAATTGGCAGGGTCGGTCAAGTCCTATCCTAAGTTGTCCGGATAAAGAGAAAAGGTCGAGGAAGTCCTGGTGCGACCATGATTCCCGACCGGCAAAAAATAAAGCCTCGAAAAGAGGGAAAGTTCAGAATCCCAACGGGAGTAGGTTTGTTCGAGTCAGAGTTGAAACGGGACAAGGACTCCCAATCCAGATCAGGATGCAAATCGGTCTCAAGGAATGGGGTGCTATAAATACAAGAAATCATGCAACAGAAAAGGACCTTGAATCCAGCATACAATTGCCCTGCGCAAAAACCTCTCAAATACCTTGAGATTTTTTCCTTTTCTTTTTCTGCCAACATACCTTCAGTTTGGATAAGCAGCACTGTGGAGGCACCCGGCAAGCACCTTCAGTTTGGATAAACAGCACTGCTGCCGCAGAATCAGTCGACCGAGAAGCACCTTCAGTTTGGATAAACAGCACTGCGTCGAAGCCGACCGATTACCTATCTAAGTCTCGACCGATGAGGGTTTTCGGACCCTTGTTGGTAGAGGTCACCTTGCTAGCCTTCTCGGCATAGTTAGGTGTTACGAATTGTGTTACTTGGCAGTACTGGACGCCGAGTGATTTTATGATTGGATACTCGCAAGTAAGTTTTAGGGTTCGGCATTCCGACGGCCAAACTACATTTACCATCAAGACATACATCACATTCGAGTACCTGTGTCCATATAGTTTGGTCTCGATTCGACGTGCTTATACTCTCACGAATATAATCACAGTGACCGAATCAAGCTCCGACGATTTGTGAACTCCGCAGAATTAGTAGCCTTGTCTTCAGGCTATAGAACCCAGAGGCCGAGAGGGTTCCTTCCTCGGTCGCAATCGCAAGATAAAGAAGTCTCCGACGCGCTCAACGCGACATCAACCAACTTTACTCCTCGGCCAAGCTCGGCCGACGAGTTGGCACGCCCCGCATTCAACCGAAGGACGTAGTTAGCTTATTAGTTACTCGGCCTGCGCGTCACGTAGGTTTTGTAACTTTTAGAGTCAACAATATCTTAATAACCCTTAGAAATTCTGATCAATAAATATATGACATCATAGTTCTCCAATTTTTTCACTGGATTTTGTGCTTGGAGCCTTGGACGACCGAGGAGGTAGCTATATATTAGGGCACTCGCCATGACAAGAAACCCAAAGCAAGTTTTTAACCAATATGCAGGTAATTAGAATTCCGTAATTTTACCCATCAAGGTGAAATTTTTTTGAGTTATCATCATTCACTGTGATCACGACCAGCAGTTTGGAACTATTCACAGCTTTAGGCGAACAATTTACTGCAGGAGTGGGACTAAAATCACTGTCATGCATTTTGGAGGAAGCAAGTGAGTGCTGTATGTTCACAAATTCACAGCAGGTTTCGATTTGAATTTTCCCGAACAGTAGTTTTGCTGCAGGAGCTGGACTAAAGGAGCTATTGTGCACTGTGGACTGTGGAGGAAGCAAAGACGAATCATATTGTTTCAAGGGAGTTGTTCCTGATTCCCATGTTTAACAGGCATGTAATCCACAACTTATCTTGTAACGCTATGTGACAGAGACTAATGTGTTTTGTTATGAATCCACTTAAATTATATCGTATGTGCAATGATCAATTTGAATGTGTGCATCGAATGTGCAGGAGAGAAAATTTCTTTAAGCATATACTTTGTATTATTGGGTTTAACTTTCATGCTATGTAGCGTTAAATGTTATGATTATTAGAAGGTCTGAATTTACTGGACCATAATAAAAGCAATAATTTAGACCAACTAGATTATTCCATTCTAGTAGCATTTAATGCTACGCAACATGAAAGAATTTCTTGTATGATTGTTAGTTTCCAATGAAAAAAATAAATGGGACAATAAATGGATGTGACAAAACATTATTGGTTTTTGTTTTATGCGAAATAAACTTTAGTAGGGTTGCCTAACACAGAAAATTGATTGCATGGTTCAGAAATTGTACTTGCATGGAGTCGGATAATACGAAAATAGTTTTTTGTGACAATTCCTAATTATCCAGCTGGTCAAGCTTACCCTTGTTCTTCTTGTATCTGTTTCCAGTGTCAAGTTGGGCTACCAAAATCTTACGGGTGACTTCATACAAACCCAAAAATGAGGCCCAATCTTTGACGAATGAAAAGGCCCAATCCAAGTTGGGTCAAAATAAAGCGAAAAAAGTCTGAATATATGCCTTGAAAATCAAAATTCCCGAAATTCAATTCGGAAGCCCCTCGTCACTGTCCGTCTGTTTTCTCAGCAATTCAAATTCTCAGTTTTTCTAGGGTTTCTCTCTCTCTCTCTCTCTCTCTCTCTCTCTCTCTCAAGTTTTCGAGTTAGAAATGTGGATTTTATTTTGTTGATTTTCAAAATTTCAGGTTGCGTTTGGGAATGGACGGCGAGGAGTTGACTGAGCAGGAGACTGCACTTTACGATCGCCAAATTAGGGTTTGGGGCGCTGGTGCCCAAAGAAGGTAAGCATTTTTTTTTATATATATATTTCATGAATAATTGTTATGAATTTATTAAATTTTTTTTTTCAGAATTTTGAGCTACTGTTTGCCTTGAACTTTTTCCCCCCTATTTTTTTAGGCTTAGCAAAGCTCATGTATTGGTCTGTGGAATTACTGGAACTATTGCCGAGGTAAATTTAACACCTTTATATATATATATATATCATATATATTTGTCTTTGGGTGGTGATGTTTGTTACCTTGTTATTCTCTTGTGGGTAGTTTTGCAAGAACATTGTCCTAGCCGGAGTTGGTAGTTTGACACTGGTGGATGATCGGGTAGTGAACGAAGATGCACTTTCTGCCAACTTTTTGATACCTTCTGATGAAAATGTGTATGCTGGAAAAACTCTGACTGAGCTTTGCCGTGATTCTCTGAAAGATTTCAATCCAATGGTTCGTGTTTCTGTAGAAAAAGGTCCGCCCTCTAATGCCACTGTTTCCCTATATTATTGGTTCGCCGTTATTGCAATCCAGTGGTTAATAGTGTAGCTCAACATCTTGTTTGAGTTGCATGACTTTGAAATTTTATCCCACTTAAGACAGACTAGTTAAATAATGCTTTGTAATAAGTCGTCCGAGTTAAGCGAGAAGAGAAATTAAGAATATACTTCATCTTGATCTCACAGGTGACTTGTCAAACTTTGGGTCAGAGTTCTATGGTAAATTTGATGTCGTCGTTGTCAGCTGTTGTTCCTTCACAACTAAAGTACTACACATACCCATCCTCTATGATGTTTAAATTTAACTTCTTGAAACATCCGTTGCTAATGAATTCATATTCTTATTTTCCATCTCAATTCTTCTTTTACAGAAATTGATCAATGAAAAATGCCGAAAGTCCTCGAAGCGTGTAGCGTTTTATACAGTTGATTGTAGAGACTCCTGTGGTGAAATATTTGTTGATCTGCAACACCATAAATATTCGAAGGTGATCATCGTATTTGATTTCTCAGACTTTTCGAATGTCATTATGTTAGTTTGCTTAGTTTCCTTGTTCATTTTATGTCTAATGAGTTGATAGAATCATTGCTAGAACTTCAAGAAAGTTTCTAAGGGCTATGAAATTTTAGATTACATGTACATGGAGAAATATAGCATTGCCAGCCTATATTCTCTACCTGTAATGACAGAAGCATGAGTAAATTTTTTCTTGTTTTTCTTGACAGAAAAAAAATGAGGAAACAATCGAATGCGAACTACATTATCCAAGCTTTGAGGTATGACTCGTTGGTCAATGTTCTTTCTTATGATGTTATTTTAAATTTCATATCGTGCTCATGCTTACCTCCCATCTGGGCGATAATTAAGTATAGGACCTTCTTAGAGGATTGATCAAATTAAGACCACAAGATTAATATTTTCCGGTGGTATTAACCCTTGTTCATACAACATGCATTTAGGATTGCCATCTGTCTAATATAGCTTATTATATTGACCAACGTCCCATAAGGTAATGATAATTTGTTTTTATGCAAATTGTGCTATAGTGTGTATCGTAATTATTTTTAGCGTATTAATCATGACGTATAATATGGAACTTACATTACAGGAATCAATTTCTGTACCTTGGAAATCATTTCCCAGGAGATTCTCAAAGCTATACTTTGCTATACGAGGTGTGTTTAATTATTGTTATTTAATTTTTTTTACTTGTTATGAAAGAAGTTGTGTAAAAGAAATATAGCAATACAATAAAAGAGGTAGGTAAGAAAAATCTTGGTTTTACTAAAGGGAAGAGGGATGGTGCCTTGGAGACTACTTCCATGAAGTTGTCAAAGCTATAATTTGCTATATGAGAAGTGAAATTATTACATTTAAAAAGAATTATGATTACCAAAATGGTGAAGATAAAGAGGATTAACTTTGAACTTGAAGAGAGATCAATGCTTTATTGAAGGGATGAGTGATGCAGATATCATTTTAATACCACCGGAATGCCTCATTCATAGGGTGCATTGTATTTGCTGCTTTCTTATTAGTCTCACTCCTATGCTGCGGTTCTACTTCTAATACACCTTGTGCGAATTGGTTAACGTTAAATGATTTTGAATTTTCCCATTAAGAAGATTTTTCCCTTAATCCATTATAAATCTCGTGTGAATAGGTTACCATCCGTTTATAAATAGACTGACCAAGACTATCCTCACCTTTCTTGCAGTAATTGAAAGGTTTGAAGAAGCCGAGCAACGTAAACCTGGAGAGTTATCGATTGCAGATCTTCCTGCTGTTCGGAAGCTGAAAAAAGAACTCTGTGAAGCACAGGTATGGGTACTTACGAATTGTTATTGTTTGTGTGTTGTGCATTTTCTTATGCTTGCTTTCGTGACAAATTTGCAGTCACTGAATGAGTCTCATATTCCAAATGCGCTCCTGGAAAGATTGGTGACAGATACAAGAGAGTTTCCTCCAGTTTGTCCCATCATTGGAGGGATTCTTGGGCAGGTGCTCCGCCTATCCATTTTCTTTCCCATAAAAAATTAGAGTGGAAATGTTGGTTACCTTATATTGACATCTAGTTATTTAACTTATCAGGAGGTAATTAAGACAATATCAGAGAGAGGAGACCCTGTCAAGAATTTCTTCTTCTTCGATGCTATGGATGGAAAGGGCATAATCGAGGACGTATCAGGGAACCCGTGAATGCAAGCAGCCTTGCAGAGGAAAAGCTTTGACATTTCAAAGAACATGGGAAGTACGAGACTACCTAATTGCAATCATGCAGCAACAGGTTGTTAGTGATAGAATTTTAAGAGAGTTGACCCCTTTTCATGGATACTGATCTTGCGTATAACGTAGTTTCATACATATTCTACGTTGACAGATTCGGATGTATGTTTTCACTTCTTTGTTTATTTGATTACCCAAATTTCAGACCCTACAAAGTCGAGTCGATGGAGCGTAGCTTTTTCGTGCTGTATCTTTTGAAGGGAAAATTGAAAATTCAAGAGTGGAGCTATATAGAATGAGGGTAGGGACCTGGAGTTAGTCATCAGGAATCAGGTCATATGGGTGGTGGGGATATGGAAGGAGCAATCAATTGTGTCTGGTAAAGTAAAAGAAGGAAAAGGGAATGCAAAAGTTAATATCATTATAGCTGCTTATTGATTCAATGAACAAAATAATAAAAATCTGCTTTTTGGGCTTTTTTTTTTATAGTTTTTTTCATTTTCTTTTAAGATCATTAGGATCATGATTGTTATAAAGTGAAATTAGGATCATGGTTAAATTTGATTGAAATTCACATGTTTTTGCATGAGTGAATGATTGAGATTTAACTAAAAATGTGCGGGGAAAGAAACTCTCAATTTTGAATAGCAATTTTCTTGGGAATTTGATCACGAAAATTGTTTGGTTAAGAATATAGTACTATTAGTCTGTACCTTGCAGTTGTTATTGTCGTTCTAAAAATACTATTTTTGCACTAGCCTGATTTACTTCCAAACTAAAATCTTTTGTTTCTATATTTTTGAGAAATGTTTCCTCTTTTTCACGAAAGGAGATTTTTTTTTTTTCGTTTTTTGATAACTGAGAGGGAATCGAACTTGGGATGCCCTCTGCTACTTGAGTAAGAGCTAACAGCCTAACAGTGTTTTTTTTTTCTTTTAAAATATTTTTAATAAATGATATTATCTACACTAAAGGCATGGGTGAGATAAGACTCATAATGGGTTGCGGTTTAAAATCACTTTTGATAAGAATCGAACATAAACCTTTTTACTTATAATTGAAAAAGAATACTACTAGACCGTATTATTAAATGAAATTTGCAAGGTTGGAGTAAAAAGGATTCCTTCTTTCTCGGTTAGAAAGTAAAAGTAATTAAAAGCAAAAAAGAAAACAGAAAGAATCGCATCCTAAGACCAGAAAAGGGAAGCAGTAAAACCTGATTAGTGATTTAACGGTCCAGATTAACAGCAGTGTACTGTAAGATCAAAACTCAAAAATGATAATTAGAACGTGGGCAGTTCTCATCCAAGTTGAACCATTTTTGACCGATTTTTAAATTCAAAATTAACCCACCAAATTCTCTCTAATCCAGATTATCCCTTCACACTAATCAATCAAAGGGATTCAAAAACAAAACGATTTATAATTTTCAGCGGACCCCACCATGAAGGAAGACCCCACCATGAAAACTCACCAATCAGAAGAAAAAGAAGAGAGATTAGTGGCCAAACTGCAGAAGCAGTTCATGAGTCTGCAGCAGGACTGGGACTCTTACAAAAACTCAAACCCTAAAACCAAGAGGAGACACTCAACAAATTACTCATCAAAATTTTCAATGGTGAAAAATCTTGACCAACTGCTTGATTCTTCCCCAAGGCATCTCATGTGTTCACTTCAACATCATAGGGTTTCTCCTTCTGAGGGAGGAGAGTGGAAGGTGAGGAGTAATGATTGGGCGGTGGAGGAGATAAGGAGAGAGAGAAGGGCTGCCATTGAGAGCGGCAGGTTGAAGGGGAGGAGGCTTTTCGAGGCGGAGGATGGCGAAAGGGAGATGGGTTTTGGAGGAAAAGAGGAGGGGACATGGTGTGGTGGTTGGAATAATGGTTTGGCTCAAGAGAGTGAGGTGAGATCAGTGTCTTTTGATGGTAGTTCTGATGGTGAGGATGGTGAGGATGAGTCTGGTAAGAGCAAAGAGATTGGCGTTTGTTTTCAGCGGTGCTCAAGAGCAAAACCTTCGGGTTCTTCATCTTCTTTGGCTGATGAGAATTTGAAGATGGAGGAAGGAATGAAAAAGGTTGATAGCAAAGAAGGTGGTAATAATGGAGGAAGGTGCATTGTTATGGCGATGCGTGTGGTTGCTGTTGCTTCAATTGTATTTGGAATTTGCTTTATCAGAGGCTTTGCTGGATATGGAAATGAAAACGAGGTGATACTAGTTCCAACATGATGTTGTGTCTCTCAATCATCTTGGTTTTTCTGACGAGCGATATTCTAAACTACTATGATCTATGGGGAGGGGGATTCAAATATAGCTGCAAGGGATGCACACAATGCTCTAGCCAACTGGTCTAACCATCATTTGCTCTCTCAATCATCTTAGTTTGTTTTCGCTATTTTGTTTGATCCTCTTCTCCATGGATGTCGATGAGCTTTTCGTTTTTTTTTTTCCAATCACTATTATGAAGTGAATTTTCATTCCTTTTTTTAGCAGTCTTGTAGTGAAAATAATATTTAGAATCCAGAAAATGGTAATTTTCTAAAGTAGAGTGAGCAGATTTGTCTTATAAAGTAAATTTGAGCATAAAAACAAGGGTCCTTAAAAACAATCTTCATTGGAAGACCCTACAAACTATATGTTACATGGTGGAAATATCTCCAGAAGCTTTAATTATTAGGCACAGTAGATGCTTGTATATGCCTAATTATCTGCTCAAGATTTTCGGCAGAATACTCATCAATCCGATGCGTATGGATTCCATCGTATGTCGTTACCACAATCCCTTCGTCCTTCGACAGGCGTTGGACTTGTTTCTTCACCATGCAGCCTTGATGCGTACACTTATAGTAACTTCTGCATAAATAGTCAAACACAAATCCAGTTTACAGGCAGAACAAGACGAAGAACGCATGGTAAAGATTTAAGGAATTTTCAAGCATTAGGTAAACCATTTAACTAGAGTACTTTCGTAACCCAAAAATAGTACGAACTAGACGTTTTTTTTATACCGTTTTAGGTATAAAATCTACAAAGATAATATCCAGTATATTCCGTACTAGAGCAAATATAAAGAACCAAGATATCAAAAAACCTGATAAATTCAGGTTATAATACCAAATTCCCTAGAAAATTCAATAGCGAAAATTCAAAATTAAAAAAATATTTTATAATAGTCAGGAGATAGTGCTACTAACCTAGGAAACTTATTGTTCTTAACAACTTTTTGCCCGTATTTTCGCCACCGGTAGCCGTCGTCAAGTATATCAACCTGGCTCCTTGTTTGAAATGCATATTTCTGCTTCTTGTTCACCTTATCACCTTCTTTTCTTCCTGACTTCATCATGCCTGCATTTCTATCACCGAGACAAAGTGGAAAACTTGACCGACTCGATGAAAAAATAGGAGATGCTGATGAGGATGCTGATGAACCAAGGAAGAATATTTGGCTGTTGTGATCCATCTGAGAGGAAAATTTATGACTAGAAGTATAGTGTATACGTATTTATTCTGACAAATTAAAACGTGAAACATGTAGAACACTGTGGGCGGCTCAGTGGCCAGAGCCAACGTACATCGTCACTAAACTAAGAAGGAAAGTTATGTCGGCACGTATTCTTTTATGTCATACTCAAATGGTGTTTTTATCACAGGGGTAATTTTTCTTTCTGATCATACCAACAGTAAGGAATTTGAATATGATATGTTATGTAACTTATGGTCATAAAATTCCTCACCCTCAAACCCTAGTCATTATCTTGGATAGGGGCCAAGTAAAAGTTTAATTTTACTTGGTTGTCACATGAGATTGGAAAGCTAAAAATCCATGTTGCATGAGAATTTTGGGCAATTCTTAAGAGAATGGAATTGTTCTTAACTCAGCAGTAAAGTAAAGAAATATTATTTCCGTGGTGAAAATGACGAGTAAGAGAAACTTTAGACCAATCTAAACAACCATCACCAGCCCACCCGTCAAAAAGATTGCTACATTAGATGCTAACAAGGAAAGAGATATTCGTTCTCCTCTTAGATGAGAATTTAATTTTTAGTATGTCGGAATCACGGTCTGATATATCAAGTGTAATAATCTAATTGGTTGGAAACTTGAAAAAAAAAAATTTCAAACAATTGTATTATGACACTTCGTGTACCGATACGCGTTTCCGAGACACTGCAAAAAAAAAAAATCCCTTAGAGAATTGAGGTACAAATGACGGATTGAGTAGATCGAGGAGAAGAAAACTATAGTGTGAAGTCATAGTCTTAAATAATTATGAAAATTTCTAACAACACACGAAGGTATGTTCTTTCAGCTCAAACAACTTTGTAAGAACAATTTTAGCACAATAAAACGAGAAATGTGAAAATCACTACCTTACTAATACAGTAAAAGTTCATAACAACTCAATAGTAAATTTAGCAATTTGGATGATTTTTCTTATAAAACCATTTGTTGGGCCAAATTAGTTGGCTGTTTGTGGTGGTGGGTTGAGCTCATTCCAGGCTTCAATCCAAGTAACCCTGGCATCCCCAAGCTTCTCAAAGTAGGGATCAAGAGGGCCAACCTTTTCTTTGACCTTGTTGGCAAGCTCAATGTAGCAATCTTGGACAGTTTTGCACCCTTTTGGGAGCACAATCTGTTGGAAAAATGGAATCATATCTTCCTGCCAGTAAATCCCCTTGTACTCTTTCTTCAAGTTCACAAATGGATTGCTCGCCTTGCTATGCCATATCTATGGCGGTCCTGTCTTAACCCCTAGACCCAAATGGTCACATATCACCTAAAAAAGAAACATATGCCTTTGTCCAAGGTCTTATGCAAATGGATGTATGTCACATAATGACGTCAAAATGGCTAATGAAAATCATGCTAAGATCAGTCGTCCATTCACGCCTAGATGACTGTGAGTTTTTGAAGCATAAAGAGACTTATATGCATCAATGGCTCACATTCAACTACACTTGTGTGGCCTCTAAAAGCCTAGAGTTCCTCCACCACACTAATGCATGTTTATTTATTAATTATTAACGAGGAGTATAATTAAGAAGAAGAAAGTCATTCCAATTCCTAACTCCAACGTTTATTAACACATAAGAATTAGCAAGAAATATGTGAGTCCTACCTTAAATTTAGTTTTCATAATCTCCAAAAAAGAAAAGAAAAAAAAAGGATCAAGTGTGTGAGTAGTTGATGCAGTTCACATTTTTTTACTTCCTCTGTTTATGAGTTAATTATTTGTTAAATAAACATGTCAAGATTCACCATTTAGTATTATAATTTAATGGTATTTCTCTTCATTTGCAAGTGAGATGTCTTGAGTTTAAAAATTTAAAATATATTTTTTACATTAATTTATTCTTCAACCCTGTTAATGTCAATATATCGTTTGTATAAAAAAAAAAACACGTCAAAACTCAAAAGACTAAAATAAGATGGGATTGATTTACCTTGGCACACCAGCCAGCCCACATGTTATATATCTACAAAGGGGTTGGCCATTACCCATGAGCCCAAAGTACATGGCTGGGCCTACCACCTCCCTATTGAAGGCCAGGTTCATCCCACACATTGGGAAAAGGGTGCCTTTGGGGATCGTCATCACAGCATACACATACCTACATAAGCTAAAAAAACTCAATCCTCAATTATTTTAAACCAAATCCAAAATCTAAACAGTAATGTTATTTAGACACAAAATCGATCAAAAGCATTGTTGATACATTTTTTTTCTTTAAATAAGCCCTATTATTGTATGTTGGATTAATTCGTATTTAAAAATGCATCAATAATGTTTTTTTTTTTTTTTTTTTTTGTCAAATGATATATTTTGTTAGATTAGCTACCAACGGAGTTTGAATCTACGCCATCATGCAAGGGCTCAACACCCTTCCACCAATGTGGTAAAAGGTCACTTGCCATCAACAATGTAGTTAATTTTATGCGTCTAAAATCTAAATTAAATCTAAAAGATTGAAAAATTTCAATGCATGAAAATGGATGGGTTATGGTAATCTGGTGTTGCGCTCAAGAGGCTTGACTGGCTGAGTTGGGGCATCATAGTCAGGGATATTGGGCCAAAGGCCGTGAGAAATAGCAGTGGGCACACCTTCTCTTAAGCTAAATGGATACCCGTGAACAAAGTCCGCCCCATTTGCAAACGGGTCGTAGAGAGCGTTGAAGAAAAATGGAGTTGAAGGTGTCAGCAGGTTCTTAATGTGCTATGCCAAAGCATTTATCTGCTTCCCACTAGGCTCCTTCGCCACCTTTAATTTTTCTCAACAACAAAAAAGTTAATACAATATAACGTTAAATGAATACAAACACGTCATTTGATAAATCACGGAGAGGAACATTGTTAAGGAGCGCAAGACTTCCAAAGCAATTGTCATCGATGGTGAAGATGTACTTTTCTTGGAAACCAAGAAGCCGAAGCAGCGACAAGTGGAGTCCTTGAAAGAAATGCAGGTAGCCTTGGGACCTAGGACCTTGTTGACATCATTGCGGTTGTAGAGCTCATAGTCGAAGCCATCAGGGACGGCGATGGTGTTGGAGGGGTCGCCATCTTGGACGATGATGAGGTGGTAGGGCTGGAAGAAAGGCCTCCACAGCTCCAAGAAATCAAGGTTTCTGATGGTTGGGATCACAATGTCTAGGTCATCTTTCAGATCACGCAGCTGCTCCATATCAGAGAATATTTAGGGAAAAAAGAAAGAGGTTTGATGGACTGTAATTTTAATGGAGGGGATGGAGAATTTATAGTAGGGAGGAGCGTAGGGTTTGGTTGAAAAGGTGAATGAAAAGAGTGGAGGTTACATTCAACTCTTCAACCAGGCTAGTATGGTGGGAGATTTTTATATTTGTGCCTTTTAGGACATATATTTTCTCGTGACAATAGAAGTATATGAGTTACAACTGATGGGCAACCGTTAATGTTCGAGCTAACACGTGGCAATTCACTACTAGAAAAAAAACACGAAATAAACTTGGCTATAGAGAAAAACTTGCATGTCATTTTTGTTACTGTTTCGATATCCTATTACAATATCATGTGGAGTTACCAATCGATGAAATATCAACATATCGTTCAACTATGTAATCAAACATGTTAATCACACGTGAATGATTTTATGGTCAAACTGACTTATTATATGAAGAGAAAAACAAAGAAAAATGAATATACACCTAGTTGCGTGCAAGTTCTTTAGTTTCAAAAACCATGCAGACATAATGGGTCTACAGTCTATAAACCCATGCTTGACTACTCTACCTCTTTCTCACATGGTCTACATACTTCGCTCGCTAATAAAGAAAAGACTCCTCTATACAATGGATTCTAAGATCATTATTTGAATTAATGGACAACTAAATAAGTTACGTTTTGCGTTAGAGAAGGAAAGCGCACCCCTAATTTCAACTGATGAAGTTACTTGAGCTACTACACATATTATGGTACTATGAATTCAGTGCAAAAAAAAGTTATAAAATCAATAAGTAAACACACATACAAATCCATTTACTTTGAACGGTGCTCACAGAATACAATCAAGTACATCAAAAAAAAACCTAAACATGTTAATTCTAATAAAGCGGAATTTAAAATAGAACGACGACATTAATATGCAATAGTCAATTTTAAAATGATATTAATCGATCTTCATCTTCACAAAATGATAAGAGGTTAATTTCAAAAATAGTTTGTAATGAAAAGCCTAAGTAAAAAGAGAAGACATAAAAAAACCGAATGTCACTTGTTGAAGGGAGCTTACAAATTCACAACCCCATTGCAACAACGTACATAGGGTTCTAAGTTTTCCAACTTTTCCAACAACCCAATAGTGTTTACAGAAAATAACTGGATTTTCTTAACTCATGGTAGGTTATCATATTAAGCTTTCTTAGCGAATCTCCAAACGACAAGACAAAGGCAAACCTAATTTTCTTGCTACCTCAGCATTTCATTCCTTAAGGGACGAAATAACATTTAAGTTAAATTTTGTCCAATTAGATTGATTTTATGAGCAAAAGACATAATATATATATATATATATATATATGTTGAAAAGTGTTGTTTTATAGGAGATTCTCATATGTTAAAAGGATTGTAGACAATAGATCACAATGGAAGGTATTCATGCAAGGGTACCGAGATCCTCTTTGGATCTCAAGGTCCGGAGTCAACAGATCTAGAGATCTGGGTCATTCAAGGAAGAGAGAGATCCAAATGCTTGTTTGTGTGGAGTGGAAATAGAATGAACTAATGAAGGGCGTCTAATTTAAATTGAGTGGTCTAAATCTTTGAATCCAATAGTTCCGGACAGAGAAATCCGGTGAAGATCTAAGTTCCATGCATGAAGCATGGGTATGGGCAATGAATCGCATCCGAATTTTGTTTAAATTTTTAGTGAACAATCAAGTACTTTGAGGAGATGGTGCATCATCATGACTGTCTGTTATGGGTACGTAAAAGCTTGTTTCTT